CCCCTCATGGCCCTTTGGCTGCAGACTGAGTCTCAGGATACCTTCTGTCCTGGGAGATAACACGTCCTCTGACTGCCTTCAGTCTGAGCATGGGATAGCCCAGGAGAGTGGTGTCTGGGTCCCAGCACAGGGCTAGGACCGCAGGTGTCTGATCTGCATCACAAGGACGTCCTCCTCCATGATGCCAAGTTGGGTCCGAGCCAGCTCTGGTCCCTCACTCACCCATGTCATCTGAGAACCTGATGTCCTGGGCGGGGAAGACCTCTGGACTCTATCCCTCTCCAGCCAAGGGTCTGCCTGTGTGTCCTCACCCTGCTGGTCTCCTGCCTGCCACCATTATAAGGCCACTCCCTCAGTCCCAGGGCCTCTGAGTCACAGTCTGAGGCTAAATCTCATAAGCCAAATTCTGTCTTGTCAACTCATATAGCATCTTAGCCTTTTGAAAATTTTTAATTACAAACGTTTTCAAACATATACAAAAAAATCATTAATGCCATAACTACAGACTCCAGGCCGATCTGTTTCATCTGCCGCTCTCTTGTGTCTCTTTCCCTAGATCCCATTTCAGTAAATCACTTTGCCTGTAAATAGTCTGTGTGTCCCCCTAAGAGATAAGGACTTTGCATAGACCAGGCCCACCGCAGCTGGAGACAGGAGTTGGTCACGGCCACCCACTACCTAGTCAGTGCATGGGCCACATTGTCTGGGGACCTCTTCACTGTTTCTTGGCATGAAGGACAGTGACTGTGGCTAGTTACCTTGTCTCTTAAGCCTTTGTTACCCACAGAGATCCCTGGCTGTCCATCCATAAGACAGGCTGGGTAGTTTGTCCAGAGCGTGTCTCACAGCCTAGGTTTGGTGACAGTGCCCCTGCATCATGATGGCTTTCACTGTGCCCCTCCATGTGTTCCCATGGGCTGCCAGCCATGTTCAGGGCTGCACCAGATTCAGATTCGATTGTTCTAATGTGGTACTTCTCTGAGGGCTGTGTGAACCGTGGGATTTGGCCCAGGCCTGACTCAACGCTGATGGCTGCTGAAAATCCATTAGGGGATCCAGGACACACACACAGGAGTATCAGACCACTTATTCCTTCTTCACGTATTAACTGGAAAATACCTATACTGAGACACACCCTTCACCTGCTCTTGGGTTTTTCTAAAGTACATTTGTGCAGAAAAGGCACAAAAATGCTCTATGCTTTCCTGCCAAAGGGCCATGGACTTTTCAAGTGAGGGACTGTGAGATCCTTCCCTCTCTCCAACCCCAGTCAGCCCTGAAACTGCAGATGCAGAAGCCATGGCCACCAGGGAGACGCCCAGCCTGCTAGTTGGGGGGCTGTCCTGGGGGTCTGCTGCCCACCGTGAGGCCTCCTTGTACATTCTATCCCCATAGGAACACAGAACCCCTTCTGCAACTTCCCAACTTGAAAAAATCCCAAACTGCAGACAAGTTATGGGGAGAGCATGAGGACCGTCCTGCCCCTGGGCCAGATCTGCTAGCCCTGGGCCCTGCCGTGGGGGTCTCCTAAGCATCCCCCCACCCCGCCCCAAATACCCCCTGCACTGTCCTTGGGATTACCCACACTTTTCTTCCTGAACCATCTGGGGCAGGCATCACATTCTTTGGCCTCTGAACAGCCCTGTGTATTTCTGAGAAGGGGGCTGCCTGAGGCTCAGTGGAGGGCCTAATCTGATGGAAACAGGTCTTGGCTGCCTCTCCTCCCTTGGAATCTTCTGGCCTTCAAAGGCCCGGGGGTCCAGGACTTTGGCTTTTTTTTTTTTTTTAGACAGAGTCTCACTTTATCACTCTTGGTAGAGTGCCATGGGATCACACAGCTCACAGCAACCTCCTGGGCTCAGGTGATTCTCTTGCCTCAGCCTCCCAAGTAGCTGGGAATACAGCCGCCCACCACAACACCCGGCTTTTTTTTGTTGTTGCAGTTTGGCCAGGACCAGGTTTGAACCCAGCACCCTCAGTATATGGGACCAGCGCCTTACTCACTGAGCCACAGGTGCCGCCTAGGACTTTGTCTTGAGATCCATCTGCCTGTGGGCTCTGAGCAGGGGATGTGGGTCACCAGCTCCTGGCATGCATGGAGGTTGAAGAGGGAAGCCATGCCCACAAAGTTGAAAGAGTGTTTCTGGGCTTGGCACCTGTGGCTCAAGTGGCTAAGGTGCCAGCCACATACACCTAAGGTGGCAGGTTCGAGTCCAGCCCGGGCCCGCCAAACAACAACAATGGCTGCAACCAAAAAAAATAGCTGGGCGTTGTGGCGGGTGCCTGTGGTCCCAGCTGCTTGGGAGGTGGAGGCAGGAGACTCGCTTGAGCCCAGGAGTTGGAGGTTGCTGTGAGCTGTGATGTGACAGCGCTCTACTGAGGGTGATAAAGTGAGACTCTGTCTCAAAAAAAAAAAAAAAAAAAAAGAAAAAAGAAAGAGCATTTCTGAGATAAGACACAAGTCTGGCAGGCTGAGCCTGGGAGCAAGTTCCCCTGGCTGTGGAAAAGGCACTAATGGGATGATGACAAAGGGGCCTCAGTGGCCACCAATGGCAGGTATAATAGACTTGTGCCTGGGGACGCTGGGCAGGGCTTGCTTTGGAGTGTGCCATGGAGGGGAAAGGATCTCTGAACACCATTCCAAAGGACACAGCCACTCAGATCAGATCTGAGCCAGATGCCCAAGAGCCCCAGGCCTCTGTTCCCATCAGCACCCAGCCATTTCCAAGGGCTCAGCAGAGCGTCCACAGGACTAGAGGACACTTCCAGAGCACTGGGCCTGGGCTGTCGTCACCCTTCCTGTGCTTCATCTGTTTTCAAGGATTTCATGTCCATCTAGTACACATTCCCCAGGGGTGAACACAGGACCCTGCTGACCCATAGCCTGTGCCAGCAGGAACTTGTCACTGCTGAGCTCAAAGGCAGGAGGCCGTACAAGACTCATGGTCGAGCCACATGGGCAGGACCATGTGTGGGTGGGTCAGAGCAGGGACAGGATAGTTCTGAAGGTCCCTAGCTATCCTATCATTCTACTGGCCCCTGGGAGAGGAGCTGGGGCACGGCTTGCCAGCCGCTAGCCTGGAGTGCTCAAAGTTGCTCTTAGTTTTACCACCAAACCACCTCATTCCCAAACCCATCTTCTGTTTGCAAGGGCCTGGCTGGGAGTCTCACTGCTGTGGAGGCTGGCAGGCTAGCAGGTGACACTCCTGTCACCAGCACAGAGGAGCTGGCATATAGGAACTGAGGGGCCTGGTCTGAGTTACTTGCTTCAGATGGGAGAGCAGCCTTGTCATCAGTCACTTCCAAGCACACAGTTGAGCCCCTTAAAGAGAAATGGGACCCCACAGTCCCTGGGCACTAAGGAAGCCAGGAAACATTCAGGAAGCCCTCAGCACAGGGGTGTTGGCCCCTGGCAGACACCCCACAGGCATCTACAAGGGGTCAGCTCTGAGCACGGGGACTAGACACATGGCACTTTGGGGGCCAAGCAATGTCTATGGGTGTCCGTTTCCAAGGGCTCAGCAGAGCGTCCACAGGACTAGGGGACACTTCCAGAGCACTGGGCCTGGGCTGTTGTCACCCTCCCTGTGCTTCGTTTGTTTTCAGTGATTTCTATGGGCCAGACTGCTCCTGTCTGAGCCTGGAAGCAGGGAGTAGGGGGCTGAGCACAGGCTTCACTGGGTGGGACTGAGCCCACTGGCCCCTCGTGGGGGATTTGGCTGCTGCCTCCAGGCCCCTGACCAGACGGCCCCTACCCTGCAAAGTTGCTCAAACACAGGAGCTTGAGGCAAGAGAAGGAGCCCTGGAAGGAGACAGGAGGCAATTTCTGACTGCTTACCCCGGGACCCTGGCTATCTCTGCCTCTGGTGAGAAGAAGGGATCTGGCTGGGGAGCAAGGTTGGGGTCACCTCCACTCTCCTGTGGACCCCTGAAGCCACAAGTTCCACATAGGCTGGGGGACTGGGAGTCTAGCTTGGCCCCTACAGCCTACCTTAGTGGTGGTCAGTGGAGGGTCAGTCAGGGCCCAGGGTGACAGGCAAGCAATGCCCTCCCAGGCACAATGCTGTTTACATTTCTAAGGGGTGGGGCCAAGGCTGGGTACAGCAGGCTGCCCTGGCCCCTCTGGCTTGGCAAGGGCAGGGAGACCCTGCCCAGACCCTTCTACCCTCTGTCTCCCTCAACCTGCTCTGGGATGGAGGAAACCCAGAACCTCCACGGCTTCTCATGTCCTAGGGCCCAGATGCTAATCAAAGTGTCTCATCTGCCCTGACTTCCCCTGCGGACACCTCCTGTCTCTCCTCCCGGAAGAAACAACATCGCCACCGTCAACAGCAACAGTCGTCACCTGTGAGCGCCCCTTGCTTCCAGGACCACACAGACCTCCCACGTGTGCTCCCGAATACTCTCCCTCGATCATGGTCAAGGCCATATCACCCCATTTTACAGATGGGGAAACTGAAGATAACTAGGAACCGGCCCAATTTGACATCAGGGTCAGACTGATGTCTGACTCTCACGTTTGCCCAGGCAAGGTGGCCAAGGAGCACTGAGGGGGCCACTCTGGGGGCTTCTCTGCAGAGGAGAGGGTGGTAACCTCTTGGGGGCACAAAGCCTATAGAGAAACTGTTGAAACAGACAGTCCCTTTAAAGAGGCATTGCCAGCATGTGCACGATTCCATTAGCTCTTTGAGAATTTGGACCGCAGGGAGGTCACCGGCTGCGACTCCAGCTCCCATCAATAGAAGGGAGAGGTGGGGGCTAAGGCCTGGCCATGCTGGAGTGAGCAGGGAGAAGGGGCCAGTCTCTCTGTTCCCAGCCTCCCAGGGTTGGAATTCTCACCTCTCCAACTCCCTGTACCCACAGGAAACTACTTCTGGGGTATGGGGAAAGGGAGTGCTGAGGTCCCCCTGGGCAGATGACTACTGATGAGAGACTCCCGCCTGGTACCCAAGGGCCCCTACCTACTCTCGGTCCTTCTCCTTCAGGAAGAGGCTGCTCACCTGTATGACAGCCTTGACAGTGGCAGTGCCCACGGTGGGTGTGCACACCAGGCCACCAGGGTGCTGGCCATCGGCGCTGCGGTTCTGCTGGCCCATGGTGAACAGCATGGGCACTGCCAGCAGGCCCGAGGCCAGCCAGATGGCGCTGATGAACTTCTTGGTGCGGCTGCGGGACATGAGGGTCTTGGCCTTGAAGGGGTGGCAGATGGCCAGGTAGCGCTCCACGCTCAGGCTGGCCACGTTGAGGGCCGTGGCATAGGTGCAGGCGTCGCGCAGGAAGTAGTAGCCGCGGCAGCCGGCATCGCCGAAGGCCCAGGGGTGGTGCACCCAGATGAAGTTGTAGAGTTCCACGGGCAGGGCCAGCAGCAAGATGAGTAGGTCCGACAGCGCCAGACTGCCCAGGTGGTAGTGCACCGTGCTCTGCAGGCCCTGCAGCGACTTCTTGCGTGCCAGCGTGAACGCCGTCACCGAGTTGCCCACCGTGCCCACCACGAAGAGCGCCAGGTACACGGCGGTCACCAGCACCTTGGAGTAGATGTCGGTGTTCACGTCCAGGTCGCTGCTGGGCGCCGCGAGGTCGCGCTCCGACGCATTGTCCGAACCGTTGCCAAAGCCCGGGGCCAGGAACGCCACCTCTAACCCTGTCTGCGGCTGGGGGAAGGGGTCAGCGGCCGGGGCGCCCGGGGTGCCCGGCGCGGAGCTGTTGAGGCGCATGGTGGGCGCGCCGCGGTCCGCAGCTCTGTCTCGTGCCTCCGCGGCTAGAAGTCCGGGCGAGAGTGGGCGTGTGGCAGGTGAGGTCGGAGGAGGAGGCACCCGAGCGAGGGCGCGAGAGGGCTGCAGGGCGCCGTCCGGCCAGGAGGGGCCGGACCCAGATCGCGCCGCCGCGGGAGCGCTCGGGCTCGCGCTCCTCTGGACTTGCGGCTCTTGGCTCCGGGCTTCAGACCCTAGGCTTCCTGGGCCTCCCTCCGGGCTCAGCGCTTGCCGAGAGCTCCGGGCGACCTCCGATCGTCAGACCCTGCGCGTCCTTAGCCGGCTGCAGTTCGGTCCCCCGAGGATCGCTCTTGGCGCGGGCAGAGCGGAGCGCACGCTCCTCGGCTTGGCGCGCTCACCTCCCTTGCTCGCGCTTTCCGCGCACGCCGGCTCCACATACCTCCCGCCGAGCCCGCGCCCTCCTCTGAGCGGCGCGCCCAGCCACGGGGGCGGTATTGGGAGAGGGAGGCGCCCCAGCCGCCGTCCCCGCCCCGTCCCTGAAGGCTAGAGGGTCGCCCCTTGCGCTCCCAGGGCCAGGTGGGCTTGGGTGAACGCCCATGGCACAAGCTTCCCGGTGGCACAATGGGTTTTGGGCATTAGATATTTCCAGCTGCTCTCCGCCAGGCAGCGTGGCTGCCTCCTTCCTGGTCTCGCTGCGCCCAGCAGCGACCTGGACGTGAACACCCACATCTACTCCAAGGTGCTGGTGGCCGCCGTGTACCTGACACTCTTCGTGGTGGGCACGGTGGGCAACTCGTGACGGCTGGCACGCAAGGAGTCGCTGCAGGGCCTGGGCAGCCTGGCGCTGTCGGAGCTGCTCGTCTTGCTGCTGTGCCTCTCCAGCCTGCTCAGTGGGCTTAGGGTTAAAAGGGTAGGAGGGCAAGTGGAGGCCTCCTGCCTCCCCCCACAGCCCTGGGCCTCTCTGCACAGCTGGCTGGGCTGCCTCTCCTTCCTGAATGCCCACTGGGTGCCAGAACCAAACTCCCAGGGGACTGTGGCACCATTGTCTGGGAGGGGGTGAGGAGAAAGCTGAAACATCACCCCTCCCCAGGCTGCCCCTGCTCCTGGCACCCAGGGTGGTCTTGTGCCCCTGGGGGATATGAGTGGGTACCCTCAGAGCCCCTTGCTCTGCCTTGATTTGGTCACTGGGCGCCACCCTGAGAGCCCAGCAGGGTTGTGGGAAGGATATGAGGCAGCCAGTCTGGGCCTCCTGGGCCCTCCCATCCTGCTTTGAGAACCCTTGCGGGCAAAGTCTGGGGCCTTCCACTTGTGCTCTCTGTACCTGGAGGGATATAGGCAGGGTGGCTGGGCACAAGCTTACTGCCATCTCTGGGCTGACCAGCCCTCCCAGGCCACTACTGTCTCCCTCTGGGCCCTCTACCCCTCCCCTACACTCATTCTCCCAACAACGGAAGCTGCATCACCTGAGAGATGGTCGGGGAGGGCCCTGCTCGGAGTGTGCAGCTTAGAGGAACTCTTGGAGCCACAGCCTCAGGGACCTGGCCCATCCCTGAGTGGACCTGCCTCATTGCACCAGCTCTGGAAAACTGAACAGGCTGGGGGAATCTCTGGATGCTGAGGGAGGGGCTGTGCCCAGGAACCCTGCCCAGCGTGGCAGGTAGAAGTTGGGCTAATGAGCTATTGGCAACCCAGGTCTCTATTTTGTTCTCAACCTGCTCTGGTTGGGCCTGCTGAAGCCTGCTATGCACATCAGGGAGTCTCCACTCATAAAAGTAAGTGCTTAAACATTTAGCCACTAAAACAGACACAAATGTTCCTTTGGCTTAGAAGCCAGTGCAGCAGGCTCCAGGGCTGGCAGGTGGTTCTGAACCCCTGCCTTGCTGCTCCATGTTTGGGCTTGGGACCATATGGGATGGAGGCTTCTGGGGTAGGCCTCTTACTGATGGGTGTGGGAGGAGAATGTGGTGGGTGGACCATGCCCCGACCTGGTGGGAGGTGAAGTGTCCCGTCCAACAAGAGTAGGCTTGAGTGGATTTGCTCTCTGGGAAAGAGATTTGTGCCAGAATTGAGTGTCCATGCCATGCTAAGTAGTGCCAGTCCTGGGAGGTGTCAGCCACATGCTCATTGCTGCAATGGAACCCGAGGGGCGTCTGGTCCTGACCCTGGGCTGGGCCACCTGTTGCCTCTGGCGTTTGGCCCTTCGACAGCAGTGCCCACTGCTGCACAAGTGGACGCCAGCAGAATCATGCTGTCCCCGGCCGCTTACGCCCACTGTTTGGTTTTCAAACCCTTGACCTTTTGGCTAAGCTGGCCTTATTTTCAAAGATTTCTTTTTGAGCTAGGCTAGGAGCTTAAAAAATCATAAAAGGCAACTAAGCACAAATATTATGACAAGGCATTTGCCTAAAACCACAGAGGAAAATGTCATTTGGAAGGCCTTTTTCTACACAGAAGGGATGGCAGGCCCTGGGCAGGCTCCGTGGTGAGCACGGGCCCAGCTGCTCAGGAACCTGGCAGCACAGTGACCGGAGCCTCTCAGCTCCCCTTTGTTTGCCTCTGTCTCTTCTTGTTTCCCTAGGCAGTTCATGAACAGCTGTGGCTCTGTAAAGCCAGCACTGATGAGGAGCTGGGGGAGGACAGAGCCCAGGCCCAGGTGTGCCCTTCAGTTACTTGGTATGCCCTGGGCCCGTTCATCTCTGTCCTGACACATGAAAGCCAGACACAGCCTGGGGAAGCTGGGCCCTGGGGCTGGAACATTTGCCTGAGAGCTGGAGAGCCTCGAGAACCTGCCACCTCAACCCCAACACCCAAAATGTGCCTGTTGGAGACTGAGGCCCTTCCATGGGTGCCAGCGCCTCTAGGATGCGGCAGAATTGGGGCTGAGAGGGCAGCCACGTGTGTGGGTGGGCTGCGTCCTCATTAGTGGGCGGGGGGGAAATCAAGTCCCAAGAGTCGTGAAGGGTGCCTTTGTGGACCTGTCCCAGGCTGCCTGCTAACTTGTCCTGAGTCCCTCCAGGGCTGCCTGCCGCATAGCCGGCGCTCAGGTTTCTGCTGATTGAGAAGGTGAGAAGGTACAGGATGACCTCCCACAAGGAGAGGGTGCCTCCTGCTGTGCAGGGTGTGCAAAACCCACTATCGCTTCCCAACAGGCCCCCTAATTCTGGAGTGCTGGTACTCTCCAGCATGGCCCCTATCTTTCCTGTGGCCCCCTGTTGGGTGATTCTTGCTAGCAAGGACCCTTCTTACTACATTTTAAAGAGTAAGTTCCCAACAATACCTGTATCAGTTATTTGCTACTGCGTAACAAAACACCCCAGAACCCAGTGGCTTAACCCCCCAAACCTGTGTCATTGCCTCTAGTAGCTGCAGTGGCTTCCTATGAGGCCACATGGGGAGGAATGTAGAAACCCCATGGAAATGTAATGTGCAAATCTGTAGAGTTTAGCTATAGATTTTCCCACCCACGGCATGGAAATTGCACATGTTCCAGGATTCACAGTGTTCCAAGGAGGATTTTTAAAAATAGAGCAGCACATGTATGTGTGTGAGCAAAGCGTCAGTGGCCTGGCGCGGTGGGCAGAGCTGTGCTCCAGGCATTCCTGGGACTATTGACAGGTCAAACTCGGTCTTCCTTGTCTCTCCTATTCCCAGGTGGCCCCTCAGAGCCTGGCTAGCTTGCTGGATTCGTGAGCTGTGTTCACAGGAAGAAACAGGAGAATGGCAGCCCATGAGTGGGTCCCGCTTCTGCAAGGGACATGCCACAGTGGGTTGGGGAGCAGAGGGCAGGCAGGAGGAGTTGAGAAGTAGATTCGATCCCATGCCCTGATCCTCCATCTCCTCAGGTGTGACACACAGATGATGTGGCCTCTGCATGGCTGCTGCGTGGCCCCCGTGTGCCTCACAGGATGGGGCTACTGCTCAGTGAACTCCAACTTCACCCACACACCCCATCAGGGACAGCAGGGCCCACAGCAGGGGCCCCATGTCTTCTGCCAGTGAAGTACAGTGTGAGCAGGACGTGACCAGCCACCATAGGAGGATGGCCACAGTGAGGGGCAGGGGCCAGACACTACAAAGCCATCAAAGTAGATTCTCCCTGGAGCCTCCAGACGAGCCAGCCCTGCTGACCTTGATTCTAGCTCTTGAGACTCTGGGGTCTGATTCCCAGAACCATTGCAATAGGCAAGAGGCAGACTGCACCTAATGAAGTGGTCCCCGGAAGACACCGATCCTGCTGGCAGTCTGAGGGAGACTCTGTGGGGAGTGTGTGAGCTCCACGCTGTCCATGTGCCCCACATAGGACCCCATGTGGTCCCACAACTCAGTCCCATTGGCTTGGTCTCGCCCAGGCTCTCCAAGAGGCGGGGACCTTCTGGTCTTCCCTCTGTCCCTCGCAGTTCACTGGGGAGTCCCCTGTATACAGAGGATGGTCCTCAGATGCGGACTCCAGACTTGTGCCCCAGGGGCCCTCCCTGTAAACCAGGCTCTTGGCCACTTAGCACCAGCACGGAGGGTGAATCAGGCTGGTCATAGCTGCTACTGCCCCTAGCCACTGGGAGTGGGAACCCACACCCTGCTCTCAGCGTGGCTGAACAAATGAATGAATGAAGGCTGGGATGGACCTAATCCATGCACCAGACCTCAATGTTCAGAGCCAGCATCAGGGCTTAGGCCTTAGCTCCTCTCTGCCCACCTTGGCTATAGGTCCCTTCTGGCTTCCAGGGAGGAGGTGCCCAGCTCCAGGCCTGGCGTTCCCTGGAGCACTGAGCAGTACCCTCCCTGGCAACTCCTATTTCTTAGGCTGTGCTGTGGGAAGTGAGGCGAGTCAGGCTCCCAGAGGCCGCCCAGCCTGGCTGGGGATAGAGGAAGGGGAGGCCCAGGTGGCTGCAGCTGCTTGACCCCTGGGGCTGGAGGCTGGGCTGGGCCAGGCCCTGCTCCCTGGGAGGAGTGGCGAGGGACTATGGGAGGAACCCTGCAGGGGCTACACATCCTCCCACCTCACCGGACCATGACCCTAAATGAGAACTGTGTTGCTGCTTCTCAGTGTCCCTCTGAAGGTCCCTCATGCTCTTGGGGCTTCTTGCCCAACCTCCCAACGCTAGTGTCAGGGCCAGGGGACATCTGGGAGGGGGAGAAGCCTGGAAGGGATAGGTCTTGGGAGAAAGCATGTGGTTTGAAGGGTTCTGGCAAGATGGCATCCAGGAAGACCTGTCGGAGGAGGACACATCCACAGAGACCTGGGAGTAAGGGCATGAGCAGGCAGGGGAGGGAGGAGCAGAGCAGGTGACTTCAGTGTGAGGCAGGACAGCAA